GGATGAATAACGAAGTCATTGACTTCGTTATTCATCCTTGATGAAGGGGCATGCCCCGAAACGTTGGTTTAGAATAAATGTTGTAATAAAAAAGTTTAGTTTGTGATTTATTTATATTAATATGATATTGAACTTGATCGGAGAAGGGTTGGTGATTTATATATATATATATTTATATATATATATATATTTATATATATATATATATATATATATATATATATATATATATATATATATATATATATATATATATATATATATATATATATATATATATATTTGTTATACAACGTGTTACGTGTCTGTTGATATTATTACGTGTTACTTGTTGGAACAACGTGTTGCAAGTCTGTTGATATCATCAACCTTGTTACAAGATGATATAACGTGTTCCAAAAATGGGAACAACTGAGTCTGAGAACAAGCCGTGCGAACACATCTTGTTGACAAGCTGTGAAATTTTTACGCGTGCACCTGGAATGCTCATACAATTCGATATAGGATAAACATTCCTTTTACATTCTTTTGTGTATGAGTAAAATGGCTTTAGCCTTAAACAACGATCATCGTATCGATCTGTTCTCCGCATGCATTAAAACGGCTAATAGTAAACTTTTTATTCCAAATTTACTAAATCGAGAAAAAATTAGGTACCAATTTTCGTCCCCTTAGTTATAGTCGACAAGAAATATAGGTGATGAAGGCGCACGTCATATTTGGTATCAGCCAGTTTTGCAATGTAGAGAGCTTCATTCTGTGGTTTCATGTATTCATTCTCAATTAACAGGATTTTAGCATGTCCATATTATACGAGAACATTTGGGCAAGAATTTTACCAGAAAATCTATAAAACAATGAAAATCTTTTGAAAATTTATGAAAATGTACTATAAAAATGCATTACTAAATTGACGAAATTTATGTAAATCAAATCTATAGCCTTTAAAACGTATGCATGCACCAGCCTCAATACGAGGCTATATATTGCGTCATTCATGAAATGACGTCGTATCCATTATTTTTTCATTCCTTTCGTCCGATCTTCACAAGCAAATATATATTTCGCCATTCAAAATTAAACTGTTTGATGCAGATCATCATGTCTGCGCCAAATAAGAAACCCAATATCGATGTGTTATTCCTAGAAAATGTGCCTTCGCTCTCTAAGATTGCCGGGCACAAAGCGATTGAACAGAACGAAGGTATGAATGTGGTGTTTATGACACTGATGTATATGACAACTGTTTGTAAACTACGAAATAACGGAAATAACACAGCAACTGCCGAAGAGATTAATACCTGGGCCAAGGAAATTGCGATGAGAATATGTCAAAAGCATATTGGGACTGAAATATTGGAAAATATACATTCCCTAAAACGGTCTGTCGGTGAGTTCCATGTCTGTACTAATTTTTACTCTTAATCATAATTGCTACATTTTTATATGTTCTATATATATAGCTAGTTGATATATAAGTGTACAATCATAACCATCTTTCAATCGAAAGTTGTCGATCTTTATCTGTTCATAGACACCATAAAATAGATTAAAATGAATGGGATGATGTTCCGGTGAAAGCCCGGCATATTTTTGTTTGACGTGCATGCATTGTCGTTGTTTAAATGCATTTGGCATCAAATTTCAACTGCTTATACAAGTGCATTTTATAATTTTTCTTTTTCAAGAAGTTTATAATCATGTAATTTCATAGGGGAAAATATTTTCCCCCTTGCCCTACCGCTATACGCTTTTATATGTTGGGATTTAAATACATCAAACTTTGGTACATATATGGTTATTCCCCTTCACGTATACATCGGCTCCAAATTGCGTTGTTGCATGTTGTCATCAAATAAAACCTCAGTTATAGTCCCTCTCAGGAAAATAGAGGTAGGCCTATATACCGAAACGTAAACTGTCATGCATGTATACATTTGGGCATTTTACTCGATTTTTATCTACACTGAGAAGTGTTTGTGTGTTTATTATAAAGATATTAAAGTATACACTTCCTTCCGAAGTAGCCTACTCAGTGATTAGCTATATATAAGCTTTTAAGATCAAAGTAAGTTAAGAAGGGACCGTTAAGTATATACTTAACTTTTAAGAGTTACATGAGAACTATATATTAAATGAGAACATCATACCATTAATTGGCGTTATATTATAGCTACAAGTAATTTTGCAATATATATAATATGATATAGGCACGTACCGGGCATTTGTCATCGAAACAGCTATAGGGCCTATAGGCCTATAAATTATATAGTGTTTCCAATTCCTTACCATATAATTTTCCGAAGCTTAACTTTTAAACTATTAAGAATTAAGAGGGTGTTTTATATGTTCACGTATCACCAAGATCAAAATAAAGAAGGAACCTTTAAAGTACTTAACTTTTACTTAACTTTTAAGGGTTAAATGAGAACTATTAATGAGAACATCGTATATCATTGGCATTATATATATAGGCCTAGCTACCAAAGTAATTTTGCAAAACCGTTTGATTCAAGGATAAGACATTTTCAACTAACAGGATGAGACATAACAACTTCAGGCTCAGTAATAGAAGAGGCTGTGGCAACAGCGAAATTAATTTTGTAGGATTTTAATGTTTTAACTCAGGTTTTAGATTTTTAATAAAAATAAAACTGTGTTGAAAGAGACATCGTCCAAAAGCACAAATTTTTCCATGCTTCAACTAAGAGACTTTTATATATATATATATACTACCATGATATTAATAATAGTAAAATGCACAATTTAAATATATACCTTTTGAAAGTAGCCTTTGTCAGTCTTTTGAAATTGTATCCGGAATATCTGTACTTTGTGTTCAGTTTATAGACGATTTGATGCCATGACAACTCATATAGGCACTGCAAAGATGAACGCATTTCATTTGTTATAATAAAAATGAAGAATTCTAAAATGTATGAAGGTTGATAAGTAACCTCAGTAACATTTGAACATATGAAGTCTTAATACCACTTTTTTCGGCAGAAACAAGCCTTATAGCCTAGATTGTATTTCCTATAGTTCAGTGATTAGGTATATTCTATTTACTATTGATTCCAGGAAATAATTAGAAAACTGAATTCCGGGAAGTCCAATACTAGGAAGTTAGGAATTAATACAAATAACAAACTCTATAATACCCGTCTCAAACCACAAACAGCTGCTGCATACAATCACAATCAATGCATGCGCATAATGCCGCCATGGCGAAATAAGTATTATTGGTGCACATTTCGGTTGCGAAATTCATCTTACCCATTTGTACCTTGAAAGCAGAGCCTAGCTGATTTGCACTCGCGGTGAAAATAAGGCTCTACCACTTTTGTGTTTTCGTTCGTCCAGAATTTTGGACGAAGCAAACCGGTTCTAACAGGTTTTTATTGCGCGCGCCTTGGCATGTAGGGCCTAAACCGATGACTAAAGTTTGAGCCCGCTATCCAAAATTTAAATTTTTTCTTTAATCGACGTTTTGAACGTTTGCCCGACAATAAATCTATAAATAGCTTAAATTTAATGAAAAGTAAACCCAGGCGTTCTAAAAATTGGGATAAAAATAAACTAGCAAGTTAACAATTGTAAAAATATAGTAAACAATCTGTTATGTGGAGACACGCTTGTGAAAAACATGGAGGTGATATACCATCCTTTGTTATGAATGTTACTGGTATTTTTCGTGATGATGCGATGTTGAGACAAATCACGGAAGCAGTACTTATTGGCAAAGTAAAGCACAACGAATTAATAAACACGAAGAATGAGTGGAACTATGTGAAAGTTCCCCGTGCTATTGTAACAGTAGAGTAATTATATGACTACATGAAGTTTTACCCTTTTTGAACAGAAGATTGACTATATTTGTGCTACATGAAGTTTTTATTCGTTTTTATCTATTTACAATATGGCGATTTATTGAAAAGGTCCGAAGGTCGAAACTTGTTTGAAATCGCCTTTTTAGTCTTATTTTAATTGTATATATGGTGTAGAAGGCTGACAATAATAAATATTTTATAATATCAATGAGTAATATTTTGATTTCACAAGTTATACAAGTGGCAAACACTATATATCTATTTTAAAATAGATTAGAAAATGTTGTTGTTGGTTATATTGCTATAATTGTACAGCACGTGCAGAGCATGTAGCTATAACTGTATGCGATTGGTTCTCTAGTAGCAGTCATTCTAAAAATACGAGTGATTCTATTGACATGTTTTGACAAATGAAAAACAGAGCATGCTCAACAGAATTAAACCAAACACAAAAACAGCAGAGCCTTATCAGTTTCACCGCGAGGGCAAATCAGGCTCTGCTCTCAGGTTGACCCAGGGGCGAAACTAGCCCCTTTTAATTCGAGGGGGGGGTGTCTGCCAGAATTGTTCAAAATGAAAGGTTATTGTATATTCATCATATGCAAATTCTTATACACTGGGAAAAAATGTGAAATCCACACTATGAATTTGCAATTGCACTATTAAATCCATAGTATATCCATATACTATAATCCATAGTATGGAAATATACAATTATTATGGATTATCAAAATCCATTCTATTTCCAATAAAGGTCCATCCAATTTCCATTCTATGACCTTCGACGGATTTTCAAAATTTTTTCAAGTGGTGGCCATTTTGTGGCGATTTTCTGGTAATAGAGCTATAAGTTTTGATTTGACTTCCACCTACCGTTACTCCTACCATTATAAGGGATCATTAACCAATCAAATACATTTGATATATCCGATTAACCAATCAGATGCGTACTAAGCCAGTGAGAGGTAGCGGTACTGGAAGTCAAATCTTGATTATTATATTAAATTAGATTAGAATCTCCAATATAACAACGTGGTCTGTAAAAACACTCTATTTCTCTATTTTCTCTCATTTAATAGCAACAAAAATTGGCAAATTTGGTGTTGACGCTTTTAGTAGAAGTTGAAAACGACGAGAGAAAGATGCGTTGTGACTGCGCAATGAGAAAACAGAAGAGAGATTACTTCACAAAGATTTGTTTCCTGATTTCCAAGCTGTTGCTCGAGGCGCGTGGAAATGACAACAGATTCGAGAATGAAAATATGATAATAGTACGTATTATTTGTTATTTGTAGGATTTGCAGTGGGAGGAGTATAACCAATGTTGATTTGCATGTAGAAACCTAGTAGAAATTAACGAGTACTTCACACTTAGCATGTGATGTCACACTTATCAAATTCTACCCAAAATTGGTCAAACCTGCAAAAGTCAGACGAGTAACCAGTAACCAGTAACCAAGCCCGTGACTGCTTGGTTTGCAAGCTAAGATCAAATTTGGTTTCGCGACAACAGCGACCAATACTATATATATATTCTATAACATGGTCTGTGAGAACATGTGATTGATAAATTAAATTTGGCAAGTGGACACTTTATAAAATAACATGTATATAACGCGTGCTCTGATAGGTCGAAACCCGTGTTTGGACCAGGCCATCCAAACAAGGAAATTTAAAGTGAAAGTTTTTTAAAGTGAAATTTTAACACGGAAAGTTGTTATTTTATAAAACAATTACTTTATGGTTTCCGTGTTTGGATGCCCTCATCCAAACACTTGGGAATGTTGCTCGAGTTAAGAAAAGCGCGCAAAATCACTTGCCTTCGGCTCGTGTTTCGCGCGCTTTTCTTAACTCTCGCAAATTCCCGCGTGTTCGGATCAGGCCATCCAAACACGGAAACCATAAAGTAATTGTATAGTAATGTTCTTGCAATAATGAAAACACGATATTTTTCACATAGTACTGTAAATGTTGTTGTTTACCGTACACGCGTTTAGAACAGGGACGTGCTGTGGTCTTGAAAAGGACGACGAATGAGCAACGTCTGATGAGGCCCAGGCCCAGTGAGACAGATGGTTTAAGATTGGGGTGGGAGGTATTACTGATCAAACATGAAACATTTCAGTCGCTAATTAATCTCTTTTCCCCAACATTGTTGGCGAGCGAGAGGGGGGGGGGGGGGGGAGAAGAAAAAATT